CTTCCGATCTCCCCAAAACCCCAAAACCCCAAACTACTTAAAATTTGATTAATTGTAGTAATGAAATATAATAATGAAATAAAGATCTTTATAATACTTTGACTTCAGATATAATCACTAGTTGTTAATATTGATCTATTTAATCTTCCCATTTTGTTCCTATTTTATAAATGAGATGTTTTGATGTTTCTGTTTTTTATTTGAGACATATTGGAGTCTCTATTGTAGTTGCTGTTATCTAGCTACTCTTTAACTACGTTCTCTTTAGCAATCGATATCATGATCTTTTTCAGAAAGTCTACATTATATTAAGTCTATTCACTTTATCTTGGCTTTTTCGAAAAATTACTGGGATTAGTAGTCATTATTTACCTATCATTATCAAAAGTCCTTTGTAACTTGCTATTCACATACACTGGTGGAAGCTCTGACTTTAAAGACTCATTTTCGTCTACTCTAGTTGATCCTTATCTAACTGAGGACATTTTTTACCTCTCAGATTAGTCAGTGTTGCTTTCCAAATTAGAGTTATTATAGGATCTTTTTAGAGGTTGTAGTCTATCTATGAAATTATTGCTTTTAATCTTTGGCTAGTGTTTCAAATGCACTTTTAACTCAGTTTACTTGTCAAATGAGAAATTTTTTTACATATAACCATTTGGGCTATTCTGCTAAGTGAAATACTGAATACTTCTTTTTGGAGATTTTAATTTCATATTTGTTTTGTCCTCGCTCTCATCTATATTCAGCATGTAATTATTCTAAGGACTGCCTTAGGGTGAGTGTTATGAACTCAGGATTGAACTTAACTTCTAATCTAATTTTGATAGTTAGGATTTTCTCTCATTACTATGCACTTTAGGTGCCGTAATTCTTATCATTGGTGTCTTAGACCTTTTTGAATTTATATTTACTTAATTCTAAAGATTAGCATTTATCTTTTTCTTTATTAAAATAACAGGCTTGATTATAGGTTCCTCTTATTACATCACTTCAACTGGATGAAATTTATATATTAACTTAATGGTGTCTGAAACTCTCTCTAGCTTAAAGTCAATAAGTTTTTATTACATTTCATCTGATAACTCAAATTTTTTGGCTCGAAGCATTTTGATAATGTCACTTATCAATTCTATTTTTAATTTTAAAGAGCATCTCTACTCAGATTTCTGTATATCTTTCTCTAATAATTCAAATTTGATGAGGAATTTCTTTTTAAGGTTCTTTAGCTTTTATATAAATGTGCTTAATACCTGTTTTACATTTTACTAATTTACCTTCTGTGCTCCAGGGTATTACTTTAAGAATTAATAATACTCTTTCGGTTTTTTAGGCATAAATTTATTTTTAATTTTATCAGTTTTATTATTATCATCTGATTGTGCAATTTAATCGTTGCTTTCTTCTGATATTGAGTCAGTTTGACAAGAATCAGTATCACTTTCGATTTTTCTTTTTTCTAATTAAAACTAGTGTCCAAATAATGAAAGCTGTCTTCTTTAGGTATTTTACTATTCAATTCTAAGGGCACTTCTGGGAGTACTAACACTAAGGAATGAATTTTAAGATTTTGCCATTTATATTCTGTTTGAAGTTAACGGAGAAAAGACATCCTCCTTTTTGGATTTCATTTTAACATATTACTCTAAAATTCTAGGTGATATATTGTTTTGCTTAAGTATCCCTTTGATATTCCTTATTTCATCCATGACTCTTGCAGATTGTCGATCTTCAAAATTTTCATCCACATACTATTTGAAAACTTCAAACATCTTCAACTGTTAAGGATTTAGTTTTTCTTTCAGAGAGTCTGCAAATTTTACAGCTTTCTTTTTGGTACTTGGAGATATAATTGGATTTTTATCAAATCCCAGTCTTGTGCTTGTATCAATTCTTAAGTTTAGCTTTTCCCTATTTTTCAATGTACTCTAATCCTAATACTATTAAAGAGTAGTAGTTGTTGTAGAGGATGGAGTCGCATTTCTGTTAGAATTAATTTGTCTGTTTTTTATTGTTTTCATACTTAGAAATTTGAATTGTGTATGATCATATTTATTTATCTTGATTTTTTCAATATTACTTGAATGATTAATTACATCTTTAAATAGTTTTTCAGCTTCTTCCTTTAAGTACTGAAACTTTTAGGCCAATTTCTGAGATGCTGCATTAGGAGATTTCTCTCTGGACTATGGTCGGGAATTAGCTTCTTCATCTTGAAACCTTATTTTTTTAGAATATTTTATTATTGGTTTGATATTAACTTTTCCTTTAGCTGGAATTTATCCAGGAATTTTAAGAAAAGAAGATTTATCTTATCCTCTATTTTGTAATGAATTATAATTAAACTTGCTGGATTTTTTCCTTTGCTAATGTAAAAGTGATTTATTTTAATCTTTAACTCATTCTCGACTGTTACTAAGGGAAATCTTTTATCCCTCTATATATTGTGCTATTTTCTGAAATTTCGGATACGGACTAATAACAGTTGTAAATAAATGCCAGCCTGGCCTATCATCAGAATAGTTCAATTAATCTGGAAGCCCAAAATCAGGTACCTAGCCATTTTTGACATCTGAAATAATCTCCTCTAGCTTAATTTAAGATACTTTGATTTTCTTACTATCATCCATGATATTTTTGAACGTCTATATCAATCAATCTCGGTTAATTTTCATTGTGTTTCTTCTAAATCTTTGAACCTCAGACTCTCTAGGTATTTGAATACGCTTTTAATTTTTTGACGGTATGAGAACATATACACTCGACTTTGGCCTATTATTGCTGTACCTTTTATTCTAACTTCCATCTTATTAGTTTTTCAATACTTGGCTAATTAGATTGCTTTTATCTGCTAAATCCTAATATGGGATTTTAGTTGATTGGCTATATAAACTCTTTGTTGAGTGAGTCTTAGTTAGTATACTATCAAAATATAGTTCGAAAAAGCCAAATGGTAATAAACTGGCATATGGTTAGCTTTCTTTGATTGAGCGACTCATTAATATTTATCTCCTTTTATTATTAAATTAATCGAGTATTAATTTCCTTCCTTACTATTATTAACCTAATATTATTTTATTCTTTAAATCTACCCAAATGAATAATTAAAACTATGGGGTTTTGGGGTTTTGGGGTTTTGGGG